AGTTCTGTGTACAGATATGGGTTTTCTTTTCCTCAGTCAACATTTCATTAATTAAATATGTTTCTTCAATGGAGCAAGGTGACTCCTCAGGTATGTGGGTATTAGGGAGAAAAAGCACAGAATCCTCTTTTGTTGAAACCAAAAAAGACCTTAAAGCTTGAGCTGCTTTCACCTCTTGTTTCCTTTCTGCAGTCTTCAACCCCTTTGTTCATCCTGAAACTCAGGGAGAAAGGGCAAGAGAACAAACAGGAATCTCCAGCCTCTGCTCCATCTCCTTATTTTCTTACCCAAACTCCATTCTGCACCACAAAAGGCCTTGTGTGCACAAATATGGACTGCCCAGTCTGCATGTCCAAGCTCCATCCACAGCTCCCCACCAAGCCCCAGGCCTAGGGGTGCACGGTCAGCAGCTCATCTGCCACTGGAGAATACACCCAGAACAGATACCTATGAAATCCCTGGAATGGGCTCAGAGCCATTTGGACAGGGAACTCTGGGTATCCAAGTGCCCAGAGTGTGGTCTAGAAGTAGGGACACAGTTCTGGGCATTCCTTTGGCTCTGAGGATTCTTTGCCCCATGGAGAGTGGCAAGGCCTTATGACAGTCAGAGTTGGGGTCTTGTATAGTGGAGAGTCCTGGGCATGAGATTTGCATGAGTCAAAAGATAATACTAGTTTTCAGAGACGAAAATAGTTGTTGGTAATACATTATCATCATGTCCACCACCTATCAGAAAGTTCTACACAGCTCCAAGTAAACTAGCTAGAGGCCTAGTGAAAGTGTTCGAAGTGACTCAAGAACAATCTTTACATTTCCTCGAGTTATTTAAAAAAAAAAAAAAAAGACTATGCCTGACTTAAAAGAAAAAATAAATAATTTTAAGTTTAAATTATCTTAATCATTAAAGCAATTTAGCCTTGATTAGAAGCCACATAAACTTTTCAACCTTAAAAAGACTAGTAATTAATGTTAAGAAACAAATCCAATATGCTACATCTTTAGAGTTTTCAAAAACTTGCAATCAAGTTTTTTTTATTAGTTGGGAGCAAAGCATTATCTCCAAAACTTTAAAGGAAAACATTCCTTCTGTCATTATTGTATCCAAAACTCTTCAAAATAAATAAAAGAAAGATGCAATGATTGGTAAAAATGTACTAGATGTACCGTCAAAAGATAAATAACTTTGGGAAAAAAGGTACATTGCATGAGATTTGAGCTCTGAATCCACCAGAACTGTGTCCAATTTGCAAACATCTGAGAACCATTGGCAATGCAGAACAGAGGGAGGAAGGGACTGGGGGAGGGAGAGAGACAAAGAGGGAGAAAGAGGGAGACAGGGGAGACACTATTTTTCAAATGATTTTTGCTCAGCAACTAAAAATAAGGGGAAATGACGAGGCATATGCAAATGCCAATAAACTTCATTTAAAAATAAAAAAAAATGTCAACAGAAGGCTAGTTTTCTTTTTTTTTTTTTTTTTTTTTTTTTTTTTTTTTTTTTTTGAGACGGAGTCTGGCTCTGTCGCCCAGGCTGGGGTGCAGTGGCCGGATCTCAGCTCACTGCAAGCTCCGCCTCCCGGGTTCACGCCATTCTCCCGCCTCAGCCTCCCGAGTAGCTGGGACTACAGGCGCCCGCCACCTCGCCCGGCTAGTTTTTTGTATTTTTTTAGTAGAGACGGGGTTTCACCGTGTTAGCCAGGATGGTCTCGATCTCCTGACCTCGTGATCCGCCCGTCTCGGCCTCCCAAAGTGCTGGGATTACAGGCTTGAGCCACCGCGCCCGGCAGAAGGCTAGTTTTCAAGTTGCTCAAAAGTGTAATTATGGCATGTTCTCTAACAAACTGTTTTCAGGTTCACGGGAAGAGTAAATTAGGCCAGACCACCAAGAAATATTGGATAAATGTAAAACATGAAAATCCCCATGTGAACAAAGCAGAAAGCTGTGTTTAGGGGCAAAACCAGGCTTTCTCAGAAGCTTTGGTACAAGATTTTGATGTAAAAAATTTTTACATTCCTATCAAATGTAAATATCTGGAGGGTAATCAATTGCAACCTAAGCTGTTCCTTTTTGCCCAGTTCATCTCTCTGTGCCTTCCCCTTAGTCATAAACTGCCATGGAGTTGGGCACTGTCAAAGAGCAACAGTATGTCTGAGAGCTCTCTGAGGGGTATGCCACACAATGTATTCAATTCTTAAATTCAACTCTATTCAACTCCTAAAATATATAAATGACTTTGAGATTCCTCACGAAAGACCTTCTGAAAATATGAAGTCACTTATTGCTTTACCTCAGAAGTTCAGCAAAATTTTCAATAGCTTGAGAAGCTTTAACTGGAGAATCTTTTGGGGATTTGTCCTAATTTTGTTTCACAAATAGTAGTTACTACTAGTGGAATAGTATTTACTGGGCCCAGAAACCTTATTGGTTCATAAATATCCCAATGCTCTTTAACAGCGAGCATCATTATTCCTAGGTCAGAATCACTGTTTATATATAAAAAGTCTCTTACATGAAGAAATACTTTCAAAAATAAAGTTAATAACTGGTAACTCTTTTGAGTTTAGTTTTGCTATCTACATGTACTTTTCTGTATTATATATACTGCAATAATATTCCAAAAACAACTTTCAGTGAATGTCCCCAAAGTGCTTGCTATCACTTGCCCAAATTGTGAATTTATTTATTTAGTTTTATTTTATTTTATTTTTTTGGTTTTAAGTCAAGTTCTCTTTCATGGCTTTGAGAAAGGAGATAGTTTACTTGTTGCTTCACGTATGTAATTAAAATTATGCTTTTCCTTAAAGTGGACATATTGTCCTAAGCCTCATATATTCACGAAGAATGTAGGGTGGGGGCAGAAATGGAGACATGAAACAACATTTAGATTAAGAGAGAAATGTGCAGGTCAGCAGGCCCAAATCCCCACAGGCAAGCAAACGGACAAAACCAAGAGAGCAACATGAAAGGTTTTCAAGCTTGAATTGAGGAACAGAAGCAGCAGAGGAGATGACTGGAGCAGTATTTGTTTTCCCCCCAAATCTAGAAATTTTACTTCATACAATTTACTTCATACTGACACTAGCCAGTGGTTGTAAACAACCATTTACTTGGTGTAAAGAACTTAATTTCAATATAAAGTGACTCTGGGCAGCATTGGTAATGCCGTTTCCGAGTTGTAGCCACTGTAATTGTGAATATTAACTGAGATAGTGAAACATGGTGTCAAGTTTTCTATTGCATTTTTTCAAGTGGAAAAGTTAACTAAATGGTTGACGCACACAAAGTGGTGGAGAAATTGTGCATATGTCATTTTTTTGCTAAAACCTTTTGTTTCGAGCTATACTGCTTTGAGATCTCATTTCAGAAGGGCATAGTCTTCAGCCACAGTTGTGATGGTTGTAAACGCTCACAATTGGGCATTCTTAGGGATTTTTTTTCCATCCCTGGGGTTTGCAAGTGTTCACTTAAAGCATTCCTAAAATGGCTGGCTTCTTGTTTGCAAGCCAGCTGATAATGGTAGCAACCAAAGACTCCAGTGTTTAAGCATATGAAAGACTCTGCTTACTCGTGCTAGAAATAACAGCATGTAAAGTGAAGATTTAAGAAAACCTTAGTGGCTACTAGATTATTCTTAGGACTCTGCATTAACTCTATAATGTTATTGGTTTTTTTTAAGCATATTTGTCAGAGAAATGTAGTCAATATGCTAAAACTGAACATGTATGAAAGTTGCTTAAATGTAATCACTGTAAACATCAAAAAAGAGAGAAACTTGTAAAGCCCTTCAGTAGTGTCTAAAGACAATGTTAAGCCTCAAACGCTTTACATATAGTGTCATTTAATTCTCACTGCAACTCCATGAAGTAAGCAGTGTAGTTACTATTATGCCTGATTACTAATGTGGCAACAGGCTTGGAGTTAAATGCACACAATTAGTTAGTAGCAAGAGGATTTGCACACAGTTTCTGGCTCCAAAGTCTTTGAAAGTCTTTGTGTTTCTACCATGCGGCCTTTTTTTTTTTTTTTCAGTTTCCTTTATTTTTTGCTTACACTTTGATATTTTGAAGGGGACACATGACAAGAGGCTGTATGTCTTACATGGTGCCGCCTAGCTTATCTTTACACAAATTAAAGATTAACTTTCTTTGGCAACTGGCAAGCACCCATCTTGACACTTCCCCATTTTTTTTCACTGCAGCTAAAAGCTGATAATAGACTTGAGTTGCCCCTGCCCGCCAGCACCACGAAACATTTTGCTTGTTTTTTAAGACTGCAAACTTACGTATATTTTAAATTCAAGCCCTATGAGCTTAGAGAATGCCTCATGACTTCAACAAGTTGATCTGACATTTATCCCCCAAAACAAATAATGAAATAAAGAATATGCAGAGCATATTCTTTTACCCTTCCCACCATCCCAGTAGAGCATCATAATAGCATCTAAGCATTCCCAAGGGCTCCACAGCAGCCTTGATCAGAACTGCTGTCCACAATTGCAGACTGGCTCACTGAAAAACTGGAAGCATTACCGGACGCCGCTCAACAAAGCTTAGCCCTTTTTGGAACTAGTGAAAAAAGTCATCGATCATGTTATAATGCATTTAAATATCTACTCAGATAAACTTAAAAACCTGTAAGGTGTGTGCACTGGGATTAGCTGGTCTTCCCTTTCTAATTTTCACTTCTCAGTAACCAAGTGAAATTTCAGCCTTGTTTTTATGCCTCGAAACACTTTAGCTTGTGCTTGAGCTTCTTAAAAAATTCAAAATATTAATTACGCACTCCAGTAAGTTAGCCAAATTGGTTGAAAGATACAATATATGTACCTTCCCAAATACTTTAAATATTTCTGAACTTGTTGAGATGTATGGTCCTATCTTGGTACTGAATTAGAAATAAAGTTTGGAAGTAAATTTTGTCAGTACCTAGTTCCCAAACAAAGCTAAATATTCGCATAGATGAATATCCACCACCATGAAACACCAGAGAGAACACAAAATTTACTTTTGCTAGTAAATCAGTTGATTTTTATTTAACGATGAAACCATTCATTGGCAGATTAATGAGGACCAGACGCTTGTCCAGTTTAGTTGACACATTTGCTTTTTTATTTTTTAGAATATAGTCTACATCTGGATTAAAAAAAGTTTTAAATAAATTTAAGACATACAACAACAGTGGAACCCTTCATCATTCTATGTACAACACGATAGAATGTCAGTTGGTTCCATTTCGGTTAAGTCCACTTTCTCATAATAATGTTATTATTTTCACTGAGTGGCAAGCTTCGTACAAGCCGGCGAAATGCCAGCTTATACACGCTGGGGTGGGGGTGGGGACGGGAGTGGCACGAAAGGGATGGGGTGGGGGTGCCACAGGACTATTATACAGTGTAACAGAAAATCATTAATAAAGTAGTACCGATTACCGACAGACAGTGCTGTTTGTGCGCTTATCACAATGGAATCGCTGAAGTTTCAGAGCAAGAAGGAGATTCGAAATACTTAACACAGGGCCAATGTTACAAAAAGAAATAGTGCAAACAGGAAAACTGATGCAATCCTAGCAACGCCTGGGCCTCCACCGGCCCAACCGCAGGGCGGCGGGAGGCTATGCGCCCCGCCTTCCCCAGCACCCAGCTCCGGGCTGCTTTCCCAAGTGTGGCAACCCAGCGCCGCGCCCTGGTATGGCCCTTCTCGGGCCCTTCTCCTCCGAAAAGAACAGAAAAGAAACCCCAGGAAAGGCACAGGCTGAATGCAGGGCGTCAGCCCAGTCCCATTCCCACCAACATAGAATGCAGGCCTCCTCCCAGGAGGTTCCTTGGGCCCTCCCCTCTCCGGCCACCATTTTCTTCTCTCTCACACGAGGCCCCCTCCTCCACGCAGCCCCACCGCGCCTCCTGCACGTACGCAGCCCCCCAATTTGCAGTCTGCCCTTCCCGCCCCCCAGCCAGGAAAAACAAAAAAAAAAGCTTTAAGGAATGAGAGAGGGTGAGATGGGTCGAAGAGGGTGCTGGGCAGCCGCGGGCGCCACGCCTCAGTGGCCCCAATTGCCGAAGCCGATCTCCTGCTTGTATCTGTTAGTGAGGATGTTGGCTTTGCGCGTGAGTTTCGAGAGCACAGTGTGCAGCCCGCGCAGGTGGTAGTGGAACTGCTGCTCCAGGTCTTCTTCGCCGGCGTCCGCACCCTCCAAGTGGCCCAGGTCCACCAGGATGTCCTTGGACTTCCAGGCACTGCCCTCCTCGCTCCCAGCCGGTGGAGGCGGCTGGTGCAGGACCCCCCACTCGATGTCGTTGCGGATGGACTTGAGCAGCACGTAGTGGCTGTACATGTCCCGAGAGGGCGCGAAAAAGCTGCCATTGGCGCTTCCTGAGTCGGGGACTGGGGGCGTGCGCTCCTCCAGGCAGCCGCCACTGCCGCCTACCTCCACGCCGACATCGTTGTCTAACCCGGGGTCAGCCAGGGGCACGTCGCGCAGCAAGCTGGGCACCATCACCGTCTGGTCCATGTTGTTCACGGCGCCGATGAAGCGATTCATGGCGTTAAAGAGCGAGTGCTTCTGGTTGTAGGTGTCGCAGATTTGCATCATGGTGGCCGCGCGGGCGCTGGAGCGCAGGGACGCAGAGGCACGGGGATGGTCGGCCGGGTCAAAGGGATGCCCGCCTTCACGCTCTCTCCAAGGCCCGCGCTGGGGGCCTGGCTATAGCCGGTGTGGCGGGATTCCCGGCACTCCTCCGCCCTCGCCAACTCTCGTCTCGCTGGCAGACCGGCCCTGCGGGATGGGCGGCTTCTCCTGGCTTTGGCGTCCGGAAACTCGCGATGGCTGAGGGTGGCCTGTGGGTCGAGCCCTGGCCTGTTTGATACACAGAGACGAAAGAACAGATTAGATTATTCACCCGGCTAGGGGGCCTGGCGCCCTTGCCCGCGCGCACCCCCTTCTCTGGCTACAGCTCGCCCGGGACGGCGCCTGGGTGGCTCCCCGCAGCTGGGCATTCCCACCTCCTCGCCCACTTAGGGCCGCGGGGAGAAAGGTGTCCCCCCACCACCACCACCACTTCTCCCTCCGAAAAGCCTGAGCTCAAGCAACCACGCTGGCCGGGGCAGAGATGGGGCGGGGACACCCACCTCCTCTTGCGTCTTGAGACTCTCCTGCTCGTTGGCAATTCAGTGTTCCCGCTGCAAGCGGCTGCTACCCAAGGGCGCTGCTGCGGTCAGTGGCCGGACTGTGACTGCGGGCGGCGGTGACTGCGTTGACCCCCTACCCATCCCAGGTGCTCAATTTATAGTCCAGGAAAGGTGTCGCCGGTGCTCAGGGCCACCCCTGGTGTCTCCTCCTCCCGCCTCCCCCGGCAGCATCGAGATAAAAGGCCCGGGCCAGGATGACCGCGAGTAACACTCGCCCGGCCCTTTCTACAGCGGGGGCGGGGCGCGCCGGGCCAGCTCCGCCTCTCGCCTGATACCCGGGCTGAGGGAGGGCGCCAGGGCAGAGCAGGGCAGGGCAGAGGAGGAGGGATTGGAGCAGCTGGACCCCGCCAGCACCAAGTCCTGGGCAGGCCAGTTGGAGGAGGGCCGGGCACTGCGAGGGTCAAAAAGGCGCCGGCGTCCGGACCGACTGGAGGGTGGGCTGGCATGTGGGTGCAGGGCGGGCCTTGCGTGCGCTCCCGGGGTGGGATGACTGGAATGCACGTGTCTTGGTTGCAGAGTGAGCCCCTCAACCCCGAATCTGGAGTGGCCGCGGCCGGGAAACAGGAACCCGGGTTTATTATTAGCCGTCGGGGAAGAGGGGCCAGCAGCAGGTACAACTCCATCCTGGGACTCTTACGTAAGAAGGGTGGCCGGGCATGCTGGGTGCACGTGGACGCGCGATGCTTCCGCAGTGGCCCTGGCCTTGGTCAGCTATTGGGGGAGGGGAGGGTCAGAGGCTTTTGCCTCCCTCCCGGCGGGGCGGGATCTTTCCCAATCTTTCCTGTAACAGTGGTTGCCAGGGATGAAGAGGGGCACACTATCACATCTGCTGATTCTTTCAAGAGATCTGAAAGTGGCAACGGGAAGAAGTCAATTTTTGTCCAAGTCGGCTACACAGTGATGCTGGAGAGCCTGGGCTATGTGCCCTTTTGGCTGCCAAGAGGGCAGGAGAGGGTGACAGTAGTTAGGTCTAGTCTTGGGTGTCTTTCACCATTTAACAGAGAAGTGAGGAGGTGTCCAATTATTTTTGAGGGTGCATGTGTGAAGCATTCCTTTCAAAAGATAGTTCTTAAAGCACTGGGTCATTTAATAGGGGCTATGTACCGAATCGCTGGATTTAACTTTTAAGAGCCTTGCACCTTGAATTTCACTTTGAGACTTCCAAACCACAGCCTATTTAATTTTTCCCATCTTATGTCCCTTGCCATATTCCTCATCCACCCGTCCTCTCTGACAGTCCTACAATTATATTCAATAAGATTCAAGCTTCTCATTTTAAATCCCTTTTCTCGGCCTGGCGCGGTGGTTCACGCCTGTAATCCCAGCACTTTGGGAGGCCGAGGCGGGCGGATAACGAAGTCAGGGGTTCCAGACTAGCCTAGCCAACATGGTGAAATTCGGTCTCTACTAAAAATACAAAAATTAGCCGGGGGTGATGGCTGGCGCCTGTAATCCCAGCTACTCGGGAGGATGAGGCAGGAGAATTGCTTGAACCCAGGAGGCGGAGTTGCAGTGTGCGGAGATCTTGCCACTGCACTCCAGCCTGGGCGACAGAGCAAGACTCTGTCTCAAAAAAAAAAAAAAAAAAATCCCTTTTCTCTAAAACCTAACAGGGGTCTCTGTCCCTAGTACAGTTTTTTCCCACAGGACAAAAAATGCCAAAGGAAGGGAGAACATAATAAAGGGGTTTCTTTCTCTCTCTCTTTCTTTCACATTAAGACTTATACTTAAATATTTTCCATAGAAAACCATCTTCCTAATGGTCTTTTGAATGAAATTCTGGCTTGGTGCCACAAGGACTAATCTGTTGGCAAAAAAAAAAAAAAAAAAAAAAAGTCAGTGACCCTTGGAGACAGAACCAAGTCTGGGGACCCACTACCCCAAAACTTATTAGCTCTAGATCATAGCCCATGTTTTCTTACCTGCAAAATTGGGATAGACCTATCAGGGTTTTGAAGGAAGATCAATGGAAAGAAAAATATAGAGGGATGGGAGGCGGGGAAGCATTATATAACTCTGAAGCATTAAAATAATTTCACCTTCCCTCTCTGCACACATAGACTGAAACTTTTCTAGCCTCAGTTTCTTTATCAAAAAAATGGAGCTTGTTCCATGGGCTGTGCCAAGGATTTCTATTAAGTTCAAATAAGATAACGTAAATAAAAATCACTATGTACATTGTAAAGTACAAAGATTAATTATACTTGATATAGGACCTCATCATAGTGAGAGGTGTTTATGTGAAGAGTCAGAAACCTTAGAAGTGTGGAAATCGGCTATGATGAGCCACAGATCCTTCCACCCAACTCCCAGTTCTTAAGCAGGAAAATAATATAAAATATGTCCAATGAGATTGAAAGAGCACTGCAAGAGGAAAACTCGAGAAAAACAGATATACAGTTTCTAGTAGCTGGTCTTCTCATAAATTAAAGCATACTTTGTCCCCCTTCTTGGACCCATTTGGTATTTTAAGAACGTATGCACCCAGATGAAAACTCGGTATTCAGACTTAAGTTACTAAAATCTTGCCTCTTTTTCTCTTCTTCCCAGTTCCAACAGTGTGATAACTCAAAAACGGAAATCCAATGGATCTAGCAAAAGGATTCCACCCAGCAAAAAACGCCAGCCTGGGAGAGGGCCCCTACCTAACTCCTTCCTTCTGGCCTCCACCCCTCCCCTGATACGTTTCCTTCAGTCTGGTCTCGAGATAACCCTTCATCCCCCAGTTTCTTGACTCTGGCCGCTGTTCTTGTACATTTCTTAAACACTTTCAGAGAAAGATGGCTCAGGCACCTGCCTGCAAAAAGTCCCAAACCGGGCCTCCCAGCTCCCCCAGACCCCGCAACAACTCACACCCACCGGAGTAACTCCAGAAGGAAAAGGTCCGCGGGCCAAAGCTCTGGGCCCTTGGAATCACCCCACCACCGCCCCTCTGGCTTCAGCCAATCAGAAGCCGTCAGAAAATATTATGCAAATGAGTCCTGATGCTCCCGCCAGTCAGAAGCCGCAGAGCCCTCCCCCACGCAGCGTCCTCTTTCACCCCAGCCCAGCCAAGCTGGCTGCCGCGTCCCTGGCAACCGGCGCACAGCCAGTTCTCCCCTACGCTTGGCTCTAAAAAAATTAAAATGGTTCCCTGGGGTCACATGGGAGGGGAGCGGGCTGGCCCAGGCCTAAGGAAGGCTGGCAACCTCACTGATTGCCCCAGGCAGCTTCCCTATCCCGATCTGGAACAAGCTGGAGGTGCCGAGCCTCCTGCCGGGTATTCAGTTTGCCTCCAGAAAACAGTAGTCATCCGTTGAACAAATAACTTTTGAGTCCTTGTAGCACGCCAACAGCCTCAAAACAAGAGGCCTTTGGTCTCTGCTTTCTATCCTATATGCTAAATTCCCGGCAAAAGCCTTGTCTAAGGTACCCACCCCAACTTCTTGGTTCACAGTTCCAATTCTGGATCTTTTTTTTTTTTTTTTTTTCTTTTGAGACGGAGTCTCGCACTGTTGCCGGGCTGGAGTGGTGCAGTGGCAAAATCTCGGCTCACTTCAACCTCTACCTACCGGGTTCAAGTGATTCTCCTGCCTCGGCCTCCCGAGTAGCTTGGACTACAGGCGCGCACCACCACGCCCAGCTAATTTTTATATTTTTAGCAGAGACGGGGTTTCACCATCTTGGCCAGGATGATCTCGATCTCTTGACCTCTTGATCCGCCCGCCTTGGCCTCCCAAAGGGCTGGGATTACAGGCGTGAGCCACCAGCGCCCGGCCGGAACTCTTAAATTCTGGTTCTTAATTCCCACTCTTTTACTTAAGCAACCTGAAAATCATGCTTTGCTTGCTCATCTCCCCCAAAATGTCTACAAATTATCCCTTGTACTGTGTCCCTTGGATAGTTTAGGGGGGAAAATTACATTTTAAAAGTGACCAGAAATCCCTAAACAAAGTAGTCAGCAAGAGTAAACTGGTGCAAGAAAGTCAGACTGGATAAAGAAGAGATCTGGCCTAGAACTGGAAGAAAGATGATATTTTAAGGGAAGAAGCCAGCCCAACCCGTGATAGGAGAGATCCTGGATTATTTTGAGACTAGACTTAGAAGGATCCACTTCATGAAAAATGTCCTAGAAATATGACAATCAGACTCTCCTGTTAAAGGCCATGTAGTCCAACCATCCACTTGTGCTGAAATCGCTCACAACATCCCCACCAAGTGGTCGCCCTTGCCCACATTCTTGTATTTTCCATTCTCCAGTGTTCTATCTTTTGGAGCTCTACAGAAGGCCATGAAGCACACCATCAGATGTTTGAAGGTAGATATGGTCTCCTTAAGTCTACTATTCTTCAAGTCAGTTATCCCCAGTTCCTGTAGCCATTCTTCATGCTCTCTTTTGAGTCGCTCATCCATCCTAGTCACTATCTTTAGAAGTAGCTCTGGTTTGCTTTTGAGTGTGGCCCCTCTCATTCCAAATACCATCTTTTCTAGGACAAAATGGAGTGGCACAGCCACTTATATTATTGTGAATGGTAATTTTTCTAGGTCATATTTGTTGAGCACAAGTGCTTGGAACTTAGACATGTTAACTCAAAAGACATGTTAACTCATTTTAACTTCACAACCACCCTGAGAAGAAAGCAAGGATCAAAGAGTTTAAGGGCCAAACTGTCAGAACTGGAATTTGACCCAGTTTTCTGATGCCAAATCCAATGTTCTTTCTACTACTCAATAGATATCTACTGCTTATAATACTGCCTAACATTTAATGGACTTATTTTAACAGCTACATCTATATGCTGCCATCTATACAACAAAATTTTGTGTACCCTATTCTTGAGTAGTGGGGATTTTTTTGGACCAAAGTACAGAACTTTATATTATCCTACTTAAACTTTATCTCATTAGATTTAGCCCATTAGTTCAGCCTGTTTTATTATTTTGGGTCCTGATTCTGTGCTGTAATGCACTTGGATCTTATCCATATATTTGATAACTATTCTATATATTTATCCAAGTTATTGATAATAGGTACCAGGCACCACTGGGCAAGAGGCAAATTACTGTAGAACATCTGGAGAGCTCCTTCAGTTTGATATCAGTCCATTAATTGGCACCTTTTGGCATATGTTGTTTCAGCCAGCTATGAATCATGTTAATTGTTCAGTCATTCAGCCTATATTTTTC